CTGCTGCTGCTGCTGCTGCTGCTGGCCGTGTTGAGCGGCCCAGTGTCCGGCCGCGTCCTCCGGTCGGTGCCCAGGACCTCGCTTCCCATCTCTGGTAAGGCGCATCCTCAGTCCGCGCCGCGCCCAGGCCCCCGCCCAGAGGTGCCAACAGCACCCACCTGCTCTTCGATCCAGGTGGCCCAACCCAGGGACCTCTCAGCTCCATCGCCACCCACGCCGCCTGGGGCAGACCCTGCCGGGCCACCGAGCTCCCCACCCCACCCCGCCTCCCCGCATCCCCTGCTCAGGCCTCGCTCCTGGCGCCCACGACACGCCCTGGCTGCATCCTTGGCTCCTTAGTCTCCGAAGCGCCAGGCGCGGAGCCTCTTACAGCTGCACCGGCGGACGCGGAGCCCCAAGGAGGGGATGGGGGCTCTCCTGGGGTGTCCTCTTCGAAATTTCCTCTCTCCTTCCCTTCCACTTCCTTCCCGCACGTACACCTGTGTCCAGTTTGGTGCCCATTTTGCTTTCAGACCCATCGTTCAGTTCCAACCGTCCATTCTTCTGACCACCCCCAGCCCCCAGCCCAGTATTTCCATATGCCCACTTTTCGCGTTCATCCCCCGTCTTCAGGCGAGCCTCCCTCCAAACCTCCTACCGTGTTCATAGCCCTAAGCTCGTAACCCACTTCCCAGCCCCCTCACATCTTTAACCCAGGCTCCCATCCTCCAGATGCCCAATCCAGTCAAACCATTCAGTGCGGTAATTGAACGTTCGGTTGACAGCATCTGTAATGTCTTTGGGAGGAAAGAGGGAGGATCACCTTTTCAAAAGACGTGGAAGGAACCCCAGAGACGACACCGTTAAAAGTGGTAGTAGGAGTGATTCTCATTTCCAGGTTCTCTGCAAAGGTAGGCATATCATTGATGAGGGACCTGGCATTTTCTCAGGGTAATGAGTGCTTGCACCATGGGCAGACAGAATTGCTAAAGCTGATATCACAACCTGTTGCCCCAAGCTCACAGCTAGTTATTTTGCATCAAAACTTCATACCAGTATCAGACAGGCTGGTCAGAACCTGGGGGTTCAGTAATGTGCGGGAGCAATAGTCAGAACAAGGAGTTGAGATTGTCAGGCTGGCTTCATGCCTAGGGTCCAGAGAGATCTGGCTGGCACGGTGAAGCAGAATTGTGGGTAGCAAGGGAGGCGGGATGATCCAGCACTTATTCTAAGCCCAAGAGAGTGGGCTGCATACAGCACAGAGATCAGTATATACGTGGGAGGATGGGTGGGTGGGGCACCATATATCACAGAAATGACTGGCTGGTGGCCCTCTACAGTTATGTGGAGAGATGAGCAGATGGAGCAGGCAGACTAGAGCTGTGTTTTTACGAGGTAGGGTCTCCAGAGCCAGAGGTAGAGTGAGAAAGGCAAATTCAGGCTGACTTATTTGCTATCATCTTTAAACATATAAGAGGCTTGAATGCTGATAGGGGTTTTAGTATTGTTCAGAGCAGAATACATATATGCCTATGGAAGGAAGAAAGACCCACGTGTGGAGCATGCGCTGGGTGCTGAGTACTTCATACGCAATTTCATTGAAACCTTCGGACAGGGCAGGTAACACACACAGGATCGTACAGCTGGTAAGTGAAGAGCCACATTTAAACCCAGGTCAGTCGGTTCCCAAAGTACATACTCTTTCCCACTCCACTCTCTACTTTGGGTGGAACTGACAAGGGGGGTCAAAATGTTGGAGAGAGAGGGAAGATAGATTCCCAATGTGTTGGTGAACAGAGTGAAACAGTTCCATTCTAAGTGAAGTAAGTTGCTATTATGTAGTGATAAAAAATTAAACACTAGCAGAAGAAAGTATTTGAACCTTCTGTAGGTATTTTCAAGTTATATATCTCCATGCTATGAATAGCCATTACAAACTTGATGCTTATGCTGCTACTTTAATAGACAGTCTATTTTTATAGAAAAAGCATACTTGATGGGGTTGTGTGTTAAATCACCTGGCCTCTAGGGACGCTTAGGTGGTCAGCCTGTCAAAACTGTCCTCCCTCCTATCCACGACTGCTAAATAAATAAACTGGAAGAAACAATGTTTATTTATCTCTTTGGTTTTGTCCTTGTGGACCCAATCTTTATAAAGTAACGGTTCATATCATTCCTCTCTCTCTTTCTGCCAGAGGCTGACTCCTACCTCACTCGGTTTGCTGTCCCTCAGATACAGAATTACTCAGTTCTCCTTGTGGATCCTGCTTCTCACACACTTTATGTCGGCGCCCGGGACACCATCTTGGCTTTATCTCTGCCCTTCTTAGGGGAGACACCCCGCCGGGTGAGAGTTGAGAGTGAGAAGGACCCCAGATCCTTGAGCATGTGATTAGAGCCATGGTAATGGGATGTGTGTGTGTGTGTGTGTGTGTGTGTGAGTGTGATTTTCATTATAACTAACAGTGGTTATAATAGAGTGAGTGTTGGTGAAAGCGAATTGGCGAGATGGTGACGGAGGGTATAGACCAGTGGTTTTCAACCCTCCTCATGCCAGGACCCTTTAATACAGTTCCTCATGTGGTGGTGACCCCCCAACCATAAAATTATTTTCGTTGCTACTTCATAACTTTAATTTTGCTACTGTTATGAATCGGATGAACCTTTTGAAAGGGTTGTTTGACCCCAAGGGGGTCGTAACCCACAGGTTGAGAACCGCTGGTATAGACTGTGATTGCTGGGGGTCATGATACTGGGGGAGGCTATGAAGAAGGTGAGAGCAGACAGAGGGACCATTAGAATCACAACACGCTAGAGCTGGAGCTTTCAACCTCCTGTGATACCCATTAGTAAGTAAGCCATACACGTACATTGTGACCCAATATACCCACTGTGTACTGGAAATACCCCACAAACCAACAAAACATTTCTTGAAACAATACCCACTCCCTGCTATGAGTATGTGCTACACTCTGATGTCTTCTGTTCTATTTCATTAAGATGAACATTGGTCATCATCATTACTCCTGAGTGGGGAAAGATGTCCAGTTTGTGGAGACTAATCCCCCAGGGGTCTCTGGAGTTCCCAAATTGATGGAGATTGTGGAACTGTCTACTTTGCCTGGCCTTGTGGGCGTTTGAAGGGTGGGAGGGAATCTGGGACAATCAGCCACTCCTCCTTTTTTCTCAGATTGACTGGACGGCGCCTGAGGCACACAGGCAGAACTGTAGGAAGAAAGGCAAGACGGAGGTAGGTGTGAATCCGAGCCCTGCCCTGAGTGTCAGTTGAGACTTTGGCCCAGCTGTGACTCTGTGTCAGCCCCGCAGTGCCCTATCTCCTGGCCCCAGTCAGGGACTCTTAATGCCATGCTGTCACCCATCTTCTCCAATCCCAGAACTGCATCTCACTGTCCTGACACTACCCAACCCTGCCTTGTGCCTGCTGCTTCTGATTTTCTCTAACCATCTCTAACCCTCAGGACGAATGTCACAATTTTGTCCAGATTCTCGCCATTGCCAATGCCTCTCACCTCCTCACTTGCGGCACCTTCGCTTTTGATCCGAAGTGCGGGGTTATTGTGAGTGACGGGTGGGAAGAGAGGGAGAGGGCACCAGCACTAGTGTGAGTTATTCTGGGGGGTGGGGGTGGGGTGGGACCTGGGGCCGTGGGAAGGGCTTATTATGAGCCATCCTGATGGGGGGCATGATTAGAGCAACCATGGGGCATGAAAGGCCTTGGGGTGGGGGGTGCCCTCACAGGGTGGAACCTTTGCCTGCCCCTGAGGGAGGGACATAAGAGGAAGGAGGAGGGAGTTTAATCTATGGCAGGTAAGGTGTGTAGAGTTTAAAGGGAGCTATAGGGGGGCGGGTGAAAGAAGCAACAGATGCTGACTGCAGTAGGGAAAGGATCAGTCCAGTAGAGGCTGACAGAGACAGGAACTCAGGTTTCCCTTGTTTGGGGTATGTTTTGTCCAAGCAGCCCAGGCCCATTTATTAATTAGTGTAGCTTATGCCTGTTTCTTCCTCTCGTAGCATGTGATTTTCTCTTAGGACCCTTTTCCCACTCCCCTGCCAACTGTATTCTGATGTGGGCTGTGACCCTCTGTGTTCACAGCTTATGAGGTCACTGCCCATTAATGCAGCGTCTTCTGGCCCCATGCGCTGGATCTTGGCTTCACTGTGGGGACTCTGTCAGCCACAGTTTCTTCTGGATCCTCTTGCTTGCTGCTGAAGCCGTGGGCATTTCCATCTCCAAACCCAGGCAGACTTGGAATGCATATATCCCTAATCGCATCTAGGATGGCCGGGCCACATGGATATCTGAGACTGGTGACATTTCAGCCAGGGTCTTAGTGTGTTTGAACCCTTAGCTTTTCCCCTCAGTTGTCAGTAGTGAGTCAGAGGCTCTGAGAACAAACTTTTGTACAAAGGAGCACATGTCCTGTTTCCAGTGGCTTCCTTGTCTGTTCAGTAGAGTTAGATGAGGGAATGGAACCATCCCATTTTCTGGCCAGGATCTTTAACTGCAGAGCAGTTTGCAATCATCCTTATCGCTCTGGTCTTGTCACCATGTATCTCCAAACCCTCGTTGGTCACATACCATCTTCACATCTCTGCCTTAATGATACCATAATGATCTTTGCTTGATTGCCCTAGTTACTCCCTGGAGTGGTCCTTGGGATTAGTTGGGCATCCGTAGAGTCCTTTCCACAATACGGTTGGTAGACTCTCTACCTAGGCATGGAGGGTTCTCTCATTCTGGGGCTAATGCCTAGAAGGTTTTCAGTTCAGGGTGGTGTCCAAAATTTCTGTATCCTATTGGGTAACTTTTAGATTGTAGTTTCTTTACAGCTCTCCCAAAGCTCAGGACATGACCGTAGGACTACCATTGTCATATTTGACTTTTTTGGTCTGCAGTGATTCGGGGGAGCCGATAGTGGTAAATAACAGCGCTATGGCTTATTGACAATGAGATCATCCTGAATTTGTCTCCCAGTGTCCTGGCTTCTTCCTTGACTTTCTGAGTAGAACCCTAATAGTTGTTAGATAAGGTGTAATCTGAACATACCTCTCAGGGTTGCTGTGGCTTGGACTATATCCAGAATGTCCTATATTTTACAACTTTTAGTACTCTGTCCCTCTTTGGAGGTTACCTGGCTGGCTTGTGAAATGAAGAGCCATTCTTTGGTCAAGTCTTGTAGGTAGGAGAATGTAGAGCATAGAGGCAGAGTCTTAAAGACGTCAGCACTGTTAACCCTGAGTCTGCTTTGTAGACGTTGTGAGCATTCTCTTCTCCCTTGAACCTCTTATCCTGCTTCCTGCCAACCTCAGTGTGCTTGACCAAGTTCTTAGCCTTTTCTTCGTGCTGACCCTCTTATGACCAAAGCTGATGATCAGTAATTCTCATCTCAGAGCTTTGCCTTGCTGATACAGACACAGCAGCTTGCTCAGAGGTGATTATGAAGAAACGAAGAGTCTTACAAAGGAGGCTCAAGCGCTGGATCCACCAGCTCCAACAATATGGAGTACCGCCCTCCAGTAATTGTCCACTGGGTCACTGGAAGTAAACATTTTCTTTTGTTTCTTTGAAGTAACTCTAGCAGTTAGTAGAGAAAAATGTTAAACTTCACACAGCAAGAGCAAGGACATGAGGATGGCAACCAGAATCCCCTTCATTTGAGTATCTCTCCCCTCCATTGTAAGCTTGGTAATGAGACGCGCTGCATTCACGACCGAGTTTAATTTTCATCACCACATCATGACACATAGGTATTAATTTCCACCTTACCGGTAAGGAAACTGAAGCTCAGAGAGTTTAGGTGTCATGTCTAAGATTATATAGCTAATAGAGGCAGCCAGGATTTGAAATCAGCTTTGTCTGCCTCTACTCTACTGTTCTGTCTCTAGTCCAGCTGGCAGCCCGAAGACCTCATCTGACTTCCATTTCTTGTGGTGTCAAACCTGTTCCATGTAACAAGGACCATCTTTGTTTCTCTGACTACCTAGGAGAGGCTCTTTAAATGTCTGCAACCTCTCAGTTCAGTGTGGACCTTCCTGTCCAGCTCTGACGTAAAGGACTTGCCTTCACCGTAGCTGGCTTTCCGAGATTGTGCTGATGGACACAACGAAGATACAGTGAAGAATTTAATTCTCTATATTCAGATAGAGAATATAGTAGAGTGGTCTTGACCCTTGCAGACCCCAATTAAACATCACTTTAACCATACAGTAATCATATGTTATCTAGTTAATAGGAGGCACACTTTTTCAAAGGTCATAAACCTTCATGACATGATGCCATCTGGGGAAACTGCAAGGAGACTAGTTCTGACATGTTGACTTCTAAGGGGCTCGTCGGTGATCTCTGTGAGGCAGACCAGCAATCAGTTGAAAACATGGCTTGAGTTTGGAAGAGGTCAAACGAGAAGACTTTGGGGGAAGATATACACAGACAATTGGACCAATATGTAACATCAAGATAAATGGATAAAAGACGAGTTGTCAAGGACTTTTGTCTTGTGCAGATGGACAATCAATGCTCTTGGAAATAGCAGTCAAGAGATCAAAAGACTGAATTAGGTAAATCTGCTGCACAAGACCTCCTTAGAGTGTTGAGGAGCAAGTATGTTAATTTGAGGATTAAGGTGCATCTGACCCAAGTCACAGTCGTTTCCACTGCCTCGTATGCAATTTGGACACTGAATAAGAAGTCCACAGAAGAACCAATGCATTTGAATTGTGCTGGCGAAGAATATTGAAAGTACCATGGACTACCAAAAGGACAAACAAGTTTGTCTTGGGAAATGTAGGGCCAGAGTGCTCCTTAGAGACAAAGAGGGCGAGACTTCATCTTATATACTTGTCCAAAGGAGATACCAGTCCCTGGAAAAGGATATTATGCTTGGTAAAGTAGAGGGGCAGTGGAAAATGGGAAGGACCTTTTGTTAAGGCTGTTGACTAGAGAAACAAATCCAGAAGCACTCATAGATGTATAAGAAAGAGCTTTATGTCAGAGTAATTATATATTAAGAAAATGTCCCAGCCCAGTCCAGATGACGTTCATAAGTTCAATATTAGCCCAGTAGTATGATACTAGTCCATAAATCCCTCTTCAGACTCACACAGTCATATGCAAAGATGTGGAATGCAGGGATGGACAGGTCGATGGACACAGTCTTTTTTTAAAAAATATTTTATTAGGGGCTCATACAACTGTTATCGCAATCCATATACACATCAATTGTGTAAAGCGCATTTGTACATCATTCTCAAAACATTTTCTCTCCACTTAAACCCCCGACATTAGGTCCTCCTTTTTCCCCTCCCTCCCCGCTCCCCCCTCCCTCATGAGCCCTTGATAGTTTATAAATGGGTATTTTGTCATATCTTGCCCTGTCCGATGTCTCCCTTCACCCACTTTTCGGTTGTCTGTCCCCCAGGGAGGAGGTCACATATAGTTCCTTGTAATCGGTTCCCTCTTTTCTACCCATTCTCCCTTTACCCTCCCTGTTTCGCCACTCACACTGCTGGTCCTGTAGGGCTCATCCGCCCTGGATTCCCTGGATTTTCAGTTCCTATCTGTACCAGTGTACATCCTCTGGTCTAGCCAGACTTGCAAGGTCGAATTCGAGTCATGGTAGTGGGAGTGGGGAGGAAACATTTAGGAACTAGAGGAAAGTTGTATTTCTCATCGTTGTTACATTGCACCCTGACTGGCTCCTCTCCTCCCGAGAGCCCTCTGCAAGGGGATCTCCAGTGGCCTACTAATGGGCTTTGGATCTCCACTCCGCACTCCCCCCATCATTCACTATGGTAAGGTTTTTTGTTCTGCTGATGCCTTATACCTGATCCCTTTGACACCTCGTGGTTGCATAGGCTGGGGTGCTTCTTCCATGTGGGCTTTGTTGCTTCTGAGCTTGATGGCCGCTTGATTACCTTCAAGCCTTTAAGACCCCAGATGCTATACTTTTTGATAGCCGGGCACCATCAGCTTTCTTCGCCACATTTGCTTATGCACCCATTTGTCTTCAGTGATCCATTCGACACCTCGGATGGACACAGTCTTGTAGCTCCAATGGCAGTGAATCCAGGGCTCTTGCAGGTTCTCGGCATGGCTCAATGTGTCTCATCAACAGGAAGGTGAAAATGGAGAGAGAGGAAATTCCCAGAATCCTCATGGAGGCAAGTTCCCAGAATCTAAGGTGGCATCATCAGGCTTTGACCTAATTGACAGGCTGGACTCCACCCCTACATGTATTTATCAGGCTGACATGGAATTATGTAACCACCACAGCCCTCAAGGAAATGAATTGACACCTTGGCTGCACCAATGGTCTCAAGCAAAGAAACCATTGTGAGGCTGACACAGGACCGTACAGTGTTTCCTCTGTTGTGTGTAGGGTCGATATGGGTTAGAACTGACAAAATGGCACCTCACAACAATACCATCCATGGACATTCTGGCTAGAAAGGGAAGGGTGACTCTCTCTGAGAGAGATGTTAAAAGGGCGAAGGACAGAATCTTGAGATACACAGCTAGGGCTGAGAAAGAAGGGCAGTGACCGAGGGAGACCATGAACAACTGGACAGGAAGAGGGACTGGAGTAGCACAGCATTCTAAGAGTACCAGGAATGGAGTATTTCAAGGAATGGAGTGAGTCAAAATATAAAAATATGTATAAAGAGTAATATGAATGAGAACTTAGAAAAGCGCATTCTTTTAGTTCTTGGTAAAATATAAGGGAGTTGTGTAACACATTAAGATGGACAATTGAGTGATCCAATTTGGACAGATTAGAATTCATTTTAAGAAACAGGCAATAAGTGTATTGGTCTAAAGAGTTTTTACTCCAGGCAATCATGAACCATTTTGCCATGATTTTGCTCAAAAATATATATAAAAATTTATTACCAAAGCAGTGACTGATACTCTAGATATATTCATCTGGGGTGGACGTGTAGAGTATACCGGGAGTGAGCCTACATGATACAGCAGCAAACAGGAGGTCACTGTAACAGTTTAAGTGAGAGTTAAGGGCAGCAACAGGTATTCATCCCACCTCCCAAGTACCCAAACATGTTAGCAGTCTCTCACAAACTTGCCATCCATCCTTCTTCTCGGGGTGGGATATTTCCACTCCTGCAGAGGCGAAGTACTTGTGTTCTTTCACATCAGGAGCTTTTCTTGACCCAATATTCGCTCTGTGGGGACTCAGATCACATCTACGTTTAGCAGGCCACCTTCAAGGCTTTCTCAGTAAAATAAAATCTGGCCTGCCCTATGTTGTAAAATAGAGGGAAAACGAGCATGGGCAAGTAGGATACTTCAAACTAAACCAAACTAAGACCAAAACAGTCCATTGCTATTGAGTCGATTCTGACTCAGAGCAACCCAATGAAGGGGATCCGAGGCTATAAAACTTTACAGGAGCTCACAGCTTCATCGTTCTCCCACACAGCAGCTGGTGGGCTTGAACTGCCAACGTTGGGTTGTCCAGTGCTCACCCTGTTGCTAGTCCCACTAATATCAAAGGGCCCAGCCATTACATATGTCCATCTTATTTATGAACTAGAGACATCATGCCTGGCACTTCGTGTCATCATTTTGATTTCCAACCAGCCACAGTTAATTACCTCCTCAGACCTAGGTTGAAATTGTCCCTGATATCCATCTTTAGGTGTTATCTTGAAGTCTCTTAAGTGCCAGAGGCCAGGTTAAGATCACTTCTGGCTGACTTTGGTGGAACTCTTACACTCCTTGCTTCCTACTCATGTCTCACCCATGGGTGAGGAGCCCTTTACCTACCAACGTTTCACATTCTGCCCTGAGCCTTAGGCCAGTCTTCTCTGACTTGGCAAGTTTTCTCCCTCCCTTGGAAGCATCCTTGACTCTAGCTCTGTCTCTTCCCTGGGGTGGGAGCAAGGAGAGGATGGCCTGTCTTCATCTAGGCCCCTGCACTCCTCTTTATTTTTCTCCAGGGTTCCAGCCATCAGGAGGCCTGCTTGCTTCCCCGGGCCTCTTTATCCTGTTGCACATCCTCGAACTTCCCCGGTATTTCAGGGGGGAAATCTACCTGTCTGCCTTTCAGTGTCTTATAAAGCCATCCTGGGCGTTCTTTCCTCAGGGTCTGTGGATTTGGGGTACTAGAGAGATTGAGGGAAAAGAAACTGATGGAAAGAAGGGTACCCAGATGGGAAGTGCTGGAATGGGTCTGTGGGTATGGGTCAGGATAGCAGACTGGGAATATGGGTGTGGTAGCAGGTAATGGGAGATGAATGGGGAGCTGGGCTTTTCTTCTGACCATCTTTGTAAACCTTCCCTGTGACCCCTAAACCAATTGCACCCTTCTGGTCTTAGGATGTGTCCAGTTTCCGGCAGGTTGAAAGACTTGAGAGTGGCCGGGGGAAATGTCCTTTTGAGCCAGCTCAGCGGTCAGCAGCTATAATGGCTGGTGAGTGCGGGAGACAAGAACCTGTCACTTCTTGCTGTCATTACCTCCTTCCCCACCCGCTGTTGGAAAGTCTGTGTCCTGTCTCTACTTTCTTCAGATGCCTATGATTCCCATGTCTCTTAGTAGCCTTTTCTGTTCTCCCAGTGTGCGTGTGACCTCTGGTTCCCCTGCCCCGCTCAGAGTGGATTTCCTCTGGAGTGTGGTCTCTCAGGGCACATTTAAGGTGAATGAATGTCTCCTCTATTAACCTCATTTGATTTTCTCATAGTGTTCATTTTCTGTTTACGAGGGATCGCTACTATAATGCCTATTATATTTGGAAACAGAATAAAGAAGAACATAAAAATCTACAACACTGTCCAAAAGAACTTCAGGCCCCCATGGGAGTGTTCTATATGTGTGCTATCCCAAAGCAGAGCCATTAGCTACATGTGGTGAATCAGCCCTTGAAATACGACTGACTGGTGAGACAGAGGAAGGAAGGGCGTTTTCATTTTTATTTAACATTAATTAATTTTAATGTTTGGGTCCATAGCTACCTGTACCTAGTGTCTACTCTATTTAGTTTTAGAATATCACTACTTGGAAACCCACTGCTGAAAAATATTTTAGTATATACTTCCTTCTAGCCTTTTAAAAATGTGTGTGCATGAATACACATGTTCATGACATGTATTTTGCTGGCCAATCTTTTGTTACTCAGGGAAATCATGATTGATTATTAAATCAATCCCTGCTATTTATGTATGTTTGAACACAATAGATACAGTTGCTCAAGTGTTGGAATGTTCCGGTCATATATTGTTTATGTGTCATATAGGGTCAGATTATCCCACATATGCCCTCCATGGTTAGTGAACAGCCAGCTGTTTTCTCATGATAGTATTAAACAAGTAGACTGAAGGAATATTTAATGTATAAAAATGTTAAAATTCCATGCTATATGGATATAGTTTTGTATTTCTTTTAAGTTTTGTATTTTTCATGCAGCTTTTTATCACAGACATTTTCTGTATCATTTTAAAGATTCTCTAAAAAAAAAAAAAGATTCTCTAAAAAAAGTTTTTAATGGCATTGTGATGCCCATCCTGTAAGCTTATTATAGTTTGATGAAAATAATTCCAAATAATCTATATCTTATTTCCAAGTTTATTTAGTTTACTACTCAATCAGGCAACAAAATACTGTAAAGTTATCCAAAATGCTGTAATATAAATTTTGTGCATAAGTTGCTGTCTTATTTTAGGTTGTTTTCTTAAGATTCCCAGAAATGGATTACTGTGTCAAAGGGTGTGAACATTTTACAGCTCATTAAGTGTTGCTAATTGGGTTTTTAGCAAAGGTGTACCAATTTACACCCTAAACTGATGGTGAATGAGAATTCCACCCACTCCCCCAATTTCATCAGAATTTATTGTTGTTTTAAAAATCTTTGCCTATTGGAGATTTAAAATGCCACCTTGTTTTAATTTGTATATCTTTACAAACTAGTGAAGTTGAACTTTTTAACATTTTAGTACTTGTTTTATTTCGTTTTTGGTAAATTCTCTGCTTTGTGGTATAGCATATTAGTGTTCCAATCTACTATCTCCGTTAGAGAACTTTTGTTTCCCCTCCCACCCAACATTTGATTTATTTGGAAGATATTTTGTTGGCTTGCATGAGATGGGGATCGCAATCAAAATTGCTGAACTTGTTAAGCAGTGCCTTAGCATGTCTCATCATTCCCTGTTCTTTCTTCACTGGCTTATGTGTCTTCCTTTATTATAAAATTGATGCTTTCCCCCCAGTTTTATTGATATAAAATTCACATCATACACTTTCAGAGTTAAGTTGCCTTTAAAAAAGAGTTGTATATGCCTCATCACAATCAGTTCTAGTGCACTCTCCCCCCTCCCGCATTCATTATTTGCTCCCCGATTCCCTTGACTATTCTCCACCATTCCCGATAAACCATTGCATCAGCTATTGTCTCTATGCACCCATCCACTTCTTCTGTGTTTCATAAACTGGGAAATATAAGAGAAACAATGAAAACAAAACAGAAATAAATAAAATTTTAAAAAGTAAAAACTAAAGAGGAAGAAGAAAACACCACCAGCAATATTAAAATACGCCAGAGAGCAAATTCAGATGGGGTCACGTGGGAGGTCAACTGATCAAATATCATATTACACCATAGTTCCATCCACCATATTCAGGTTTGCAACAATCTTTGTCTGATAGCAAAGCTGTTGGAGTCCCTGGACTGTGGCCAGAAGGGGTCTCCCAGAGGGTTAATCAGACAGTGTACTCTGCAGATGGATTTTGGGCCACTGTCCTCCACAGTCTTCTCAAATTGTTGCTGTTGTTAGGTACCATCACGTCAGCTCTGGCCCATGGCAACCCGATGCACAACAGAAGGAAACACTGCATGGTCCTGCGCCATCCTCACAGCTGTTCTTATGCCGAGCCCATTGTTGCAGCCACGGTGTCCATCCACCTCCTTGAGGGCCTTCCTCTTTTTCACGACCCTTCCACTTTACCAAACATTTCCTTCTCCAGGGACTGGTCTCTCCTGGCAATATGTCGAAACTATGTAAGACGAAGTCTTGCCATCCTTGCTCTAAGGAGCACTCTGGCCTTACTTCTTCCAATACAGATGGTTTTGTTCTTTTAGCGTCCATGGCACTTTCAATATTCTTCTCCAGCATCATAATTCACATGCATATATTCTTCTATGGCAGCGGTTCTCAACCTGTCGGTCGCGACCCCTTTGGGGGTTGACTGACCCTTTCACAGGGGTTGTCTAAGACCATCAGAAAACACATATTTCCGATGGTCTTAGGAACCGAGACACCTCCTCTATCCATCTCCAGGCGGGTCCACCCACATGCAGATATGCCCACATAGGAGTACCGGCCTGACGTGATGACATCAATTTGTAACAATGAAAATACATCCTGCATATCAGATATTTACATTATGATTCATAGCAGTAGCAAAATTACTGTTATGAAGTAGCAACGAAAATAATTTTATGGTTGGGGATCACCACAACATGAAGAACTGTATTAAAGGGTTGTGACATTAGGAAGGTTGAGAACCACTGTTCTATGGTCTTCCTTATTCATTGTCCAACTTTCACATGCATATGATGCAATGGAGAATTCCATGACTTGGGTCAGACACATCTTAGTCCTCAAAGTAACATCCGTATTCTTCAATACTCTAAATAGGTCTTGTGCAGCAGATTTACCTAGTGCAATACTTCTTTTGATCTCTTGACTGTTGCTTCCATGAGCATTGATTGTGGATCCAAGCAAGACAAAATCCTTGACAACTTCAGCTTCTTTTCCATTTATCATTATATTACCTCTTGGTCCAGTTGTGAGGACTTTGGTTTTCTTCACATTGAGCTGTGATCCATATCGAGGGCTGTAATCCCTGATCTTCATCAACAAGTGCTTCAAGTCCTCCTCACTTTCAGCAAGCAAGGTTGTGTCATCTGCGTAGCTCAGGTTGTTAATAAGCCTTCCTCCAACCCTGATGTCACATTCTTCTTCCTATAATCCAGCTTCTCTGATGATTTGCTCAGCATACTGATTGAACAAATAGGGTGAGAAGCTGCAACCCTAGCGCACACTCTCCTGATTGTAAACCGTGCAGTATTTCCTGCTTCATGTACAGAACTGCCTCTTATCCATGTTCAAGTTCCGAATGAGCACAGTGAAGTGTTCTGGAGTTCCCATTCTTCTCGAGGCTATCCACGGTTTGTTTATATTTACAAACCACTTGTGTGTGGCGGTTAGTGTGTTGCTCTGATGCTATGTCACTGGTATTTCACATGCCAGCAGGGTCACCCAAAGTGAGCGGGTTTCAGTGGCGCTTCCAGACTAAGAACAGACCATGAAGTTCTCTGCTCCCCACTTTGGAGGAAGAAGTCCCTGAAAAGCCGACACATAGCCTAGAAGCATTGTCTACAAATTGGCTGTTCACAATTTAAGCTCGCACTTTTCCCTTCATCTTATTTGGATTTTGTTATTGTCATCTTCAGATCACACAGGCTGGTGTGCTTCTTCCATGTGGACTTAGTTGATGCCTCACTTAGATGGCTGCTTGCTTGTATAAAAGCCCTTAAGACCCCAGATATACTGTTTCGATTGATAGCCGGGCATCATCTGCTTTCTTCACCACACTTTGCTGTAGCAACCATATTTTCAGTGATCACTTTATGAAGGCTAGTATAAAACGAATTCTTACCTATACTTTTGGCAATATTTTAGGAACAACAAAGATTGGAACAGAGGATCTAATACTTAAAATTTTAAATATGTGACTTTGTTTATAGGAACAGTCTTAAAAGCTATAAAGACGATTCAAATAGTGAATCACCTTTTCTGAAAAATAATAAAATAGCATGGAAGGCTTTAAAAATAATCTGTACATATCCAGTGGACATAATATTTAGGTTGTCATTTTGCCATTCATCTGTTAAAATTGTCAAAACTTTAAATAAAGCAGTTTAGTCAATAGCTTCTTGTTCTTGAGCATTTTCTTGGCTTTTTATCAAGTGATTTTGGCAGAATTCTGAGCCAGTCAGGATCCTTAGGAAAGATTTCTCAGTTTTACTGGATGTGAATGTCTTTTGATTCTACAAAATTATTCATCAACAAAAAACATCATATGCAATATTCTGAGATAATCACTAACATATTTTCTTTGTCAGCCCCTGTGAGTCATGATTCTGTTCTGTTCAGCGAGCAAGTTCACATTAGGACGTGATTGAAGAACACAGGTTTCACAATTAAAATTATGTGACAAAGTGAGAACATTTTTAAAAATTTTATATCCCTTTTTTTTTTCCCTCTCAGAAAATGAGGTGCAGAGTTGCCTTTCTGCTGACAGTTGGCAGAGGTGGTAAGAATTCATTTTGTAATGGTTTCAAGTGGCAGTTAGTGGTTTAGAACTGGACCAAAGCCACAGCAGTCCATACAGAATATTATGCATTTTCTTTTGAA